AGGTCTGAGATAACTTTGGTCTGGGATGATAAAGAAATTGTTGTTCCAGTTGAGTTTCGAAAATTAGCCAAGGTGCCGTTAGACAAGGAACGAGTTGTAAGAATAAGAGACCTTGGAATCGATGATAATGACGAAGTTGAAGAAAAAGATGAGGAAGTCAAAGATGAAGAATTAGAAGAGCAACTGTATACAATCTTGGAATTTAACGATGAAAGAGGGAATGTTCGAAAAAGGCTAGGCTCAGAATAGGATAAAATTATAATAGAAGAAAGAGATATTAGACGAATGAATAAAGAAATAATATTATATGATGAAGAACCTGTTGCAGGTCTTATTTCAGCGCAAGAAGAAGACAACCGATCTATATCGGACCTATTTGATTATTACTATGAAAAAGGAAGCTGCTCCAATATTAAATATAATATAGGGAAAGTAGAAGATGACTAAAGAAAGCAGTTGTTGGAGTTACTTAGAGAAAATTCTGATCTTTGTGCTCAAGATATCTCTGAGTTGGACCGAACTGATATAATTCGGTATTGTATTCCTACCCAAGATGTATAGCCGATTTGTCAACGATCGTATCGATATTCTCTTGCCGAAAAGTGATTTTTCAAGGAAGAAATTAATAGTATGTTGGATGAGCAGATTATTCAACCATCTACTAGCCCGTGGGCGTCACCAGTTGTATTAGTTAAGCAACGAAACCGAAAGATGTGATTTTGCGTCGATTATAGAAAATTGAATGCCGTAACTGTCAGAGACAATTATCCATTACCCTAAGTTGATGAACTTTTGGATACTTTGAATGGATCATCTTGGTTCACGTCGTTAAACTTAGCCAGTAGATATTGGCAGGTCAAGATGTTCAAAGATGATAAAGAAAAGACTGTGTTTATTTCACCATACGGACTTTACGAGTTCAACGTTATGCCGTTTGGACTTATGAATGCCCTGGCTATATTTCAGAGGTTAATGGATCAAATCTTCAGCGACATAAGTGGAAAATTTGTTGTCGTGTATCTTTACGATTTTAACATTTTTTCTAGATCGTTTGAAGAACACTTAGATCACTTGAAAGAAGTATTTTTACAATTGAAGCAGGCAGGTTTAAAAATTAAACCCCAAAAGTGTTATTTCACCCGTAAAGAATTGAAATTTTTAGGGTATGTTGTAAGCACGCAAGGAATATCAACCGATCCAGAAAAGATTCAAGCTGTTCAAGAATTTCCTGTTCCTCGAAATTTGAGACAGTTACGTGGATTTTTAGGATTAGTGTCTTACTATCGATGATTTATCCCTGAATTTACAAGAATCGCAGTTCTATTAAATTCATTACTATGAAAGAATATTGGATATCATTGGACATCAATGCATCAAGAAGCTTTTGAGAGATTGAAAGAAAAACTTATCATGGCTTCAGTTTAGCATACCCAAAATTTTTAAAACCTTTTATCCTTTTTACAGATGCGTCAGACTTAGTGCTAGGCGCTATTCTTTCTCAATTGAATGATGACGGAAAAGAAAGAGTGACCGCTTATGCAAGTCGCTCTTTGACTCTAGCAGAAAAAAATTATTCTGTAACGGAAAAAGAGTGTCTTGCCATCGTTTGGGCTGTTTCATATTTTAGACCTTATCTTCACAGAGTTTCTTTTACACTTTATACAGATCATTCTGCGTTAAAATCATTATTTTCTCATCGGCTACCCCAGAATCGACTGGCCAGGTAGATCCTGACCTTGCAGAAGTATAGATTTACTACCATCCACAGATCTGAAAAAATACATCTTAACGTCGATAGTCTTTCACGAATTTAAGACAATCGATTTTTTTTATTTTTACTCCTATTTGAACTTTGATGATATCGATTTCGGATTACCCAAAATTTTGATTAACAAAACTTTATAGATTTAGATACATATTACTTATTTTTAAGATACCTTAGCGAGTTTATAGTACCTTCTAGTTATACTAGTGCCCAGATTAGAATTTTGAAGCATAAAACACGTCATTATCTCGTCTAGAAAGGACTGTTATACAAGAAGAACCCCCGGAACCCTCTCAGACCATTACAAATATTGAAGCCACAAGAAGTTGAACCTGTATTATATGCAATGCATTCGGAACCCTTAGCGGGGCATTTCAATAAAGAGGCAACATACCAGCAAGTTATTACTCGATATTTTTGGCCACAGATGGGAAATGATATTTGGGATTATGTTAAGTTATGTGACTCGTGTCAAAGAAGAGAAAAACCTGTTACTAGAGAACCTCTTCACCCTATTTGAATTGGACAACCCTTTGATCGAATAGGTATCAATATCGTTGGATCTCTTCCTGTTACTATGAAAGAATATCGATATATAGTTGTAGCAACCAAATACTTAACTCGATGGCCTGAGGCGCGTGCTATTAAATGTGCTGATGCTGAAACAGTAGCGGCTTTTCTGTTTGAAGATATTATTTGTCATCACGGGAGTCCACGTGAGTTGCTTTCAGATCAAGGAACTTATTTTTGTAATAAAATTGTGGATCCATTGTGTTTCAAAATGAACATTCGCCATTCAAAATCAACAGCTTATCATCCTCAAACGAATGGATTGGTTGAGCGTTTTAATCGAACGTTGTGTGAAGTTTTAGCTAAGTGTATAGAGCAGTTTAAGGTGATTGGGAAGATTACGTATCTGCAACCCTTTTCGCTTATCGAACAAATCGGCATTCTACAACCCATTACGATCCTTTTTTCCTCGTATATGGCAGGGATGCTTTGTTACCCATAGACAGTGTTGGGCAATATGGACATTTGGACTTATTAAAAAAATATGGACAAATATAGAGATAGTAATTTATGGACATGGACATATAGGTTTGGACATAGTCCAAATTTTTTAAAAAATATGGACATATACCAAGTGCCAACACTGCCTATAGAAACTGTAATTTCAATGTATCCACATGAAGCAATTACTGAGGAAGAGTTACAGGACCAATTATTGCGACGGATAGAAAGTTTGTTAGTGAAATTAACTGAATCACGCCTCCAGGCTAAAAATAATATTATGAAGACTCAAGATAAACAAAAAGCACGTCATGACCAAAGCCATCGGATAGAAAGCTATTTAATTGGTAATAAGGTGTTATTAGAACGATCCTCTTTATTGATGTCTTATAGTACAAAATTAGAATCAAAATTTACAGGTCCATATTATGTGCATGATGTTTGTGGCAATAGTACATATAAACTACGAACGATAAGTGGAATAACAAGGGGCCAGCTTGGTAAAACAGAAAAAGTTCTTAAAAAGGCTATGCGTGGAAACCGGTTAAAACGATATGTAGAGCCTCTTGTAGAAAGGACACTTAAACTTATAAATACGATCTGAATTAACCTTTGTTCTCTTAAATATGGAACCTTTTCAAGTGACCGCGCCCATTTTAAAACTCTTTTTTCGTCTTCAGAAGTATATTAAAGAGTCTTCTGTAGAATCTCTCTGTATTACTAATAGTACTATTGAATTTCTTGATAGGCAAAGAGACCAGATTCCTATTAATTTAGCACCAAAAATTAATGATGATTTGTTAGAAACTCGTATGCCTCTCTTTATTGAAGATCTTTACCGAATCGGTGACCCTGCGAAAGAACTCTGTAAGGTTGAAGGTACAAGTTGGAACCAACAGATGGATTATCTTTGT